GGGAGAGCGCTCGGCTCGAGGGGAGCGAGGCAGTGCCTGGCAGCACCCCGGGCACCTCAGCCTGGCACCACGGGCACCCCGCACAGGGTCAGCATTAACTGTCTCACTCCAGCTCTTAATGGCTGCTCTTACAATTTCAGTCCTAATTGAGACATAATTTTTGTCAATGAATTTATTTCATATCAGCGGTGAAGGAAGAACTGGTGTCAGCAGGGAAAACTCAGCAGTCAGTGAAGAGGAGAAATGAGGACCATGAAGTCCTGATGAGCCTCTTGTATTCTTTGCTTTGGGGAATTTCTCCAGCGAGGGAGCTTCCATTCACTGCACCAAAGGGATGTCAGAGGCTGTAGGATCCCAGTGAAAATGGCCAGTTTTTAGAGACAAGCCCTATCCTATCAACTGCTGTCAGGGGAGGGGAGGGCAGGTCCAGAGAGACCTGCAGAAGCAAGCAGAGAACCCAGGGCTCCCAACGTACTCTTCAGCAGTTTCCATCGCCTGGATCACTCAATATGATCATTGGGTGGATCCACATTGACCCAGTTAACAATGCTGAGCACTGGGGGAGAAAGTGCAGCCAGCTTTTTTGTCTGGTTCCCATCTCCTCCTAGCACTGGGTTCTGCAGTGTCTAAACAAGAGATGAAGGAGACTTCATCCAGTGAAATTGTTTTTTCCCTATTCTTGGCTTCTGAATGACTCCCCAGTTCACAGCACTTGAAATAAACATGCACCAGTGCAGGAACATCAATGGGAATGTGGCAGTGTGGGGCAATCTGTGTTTCTGCCAGAATTTACTGTCAGTAAAAGCCCAGTTATTGTGAAGGTGTTAAATCAACTGTCATAAGTCTTCTGCAAGGGTAGGTATTGCATCTTCTCTATAGCTGCCATTGGCAGGGATTGCCATTAGAAACCCTGTTGTCTTTTATACCTTTTTTATTCCCTCATGAGGTTTCAGATTGAATGGAAATTTGATATGCACTGTCTCAGCAGCAGGCAAGTTTTATTTGTGACCAAGTTTGTGCAAGATGTCCAGAACAACTCATTCTGCTGGTTTTATGTGATTCTGCTCACAAACTGGGGAGGATTTGCAGCCATTATTTTGCCAGACAACTAGAATTTGTAAATCAGAATGGATGGGCCACGGTGCACAGTGTTGTTTTGTGTGTATCAATAATAATTTCTATAAATAAACATCAATAACGGTTCACTACTCAGGAAAGGAGGAGGTTGGACAGTGGCCAGGTTCCCCGTTAATTGTGGCACAGGAGCTTCTCCTATCACCTGGGTGTCCCAAACCTCCCCAAATGCCAGTGTTGCGAGTGAGTTCAGCTCTCCTGGCCTCTGATTGAGGTTTTTCTGCAGGAGTGGCTGGGGGAGTGGTGATAAGCAACCAGCTGTGGTGAGGAAAGAGTCTCGTTCTCCAGGGAATCGCCTGAGCTCTGCCCAAATGTTTGGGTTTTTTTTTTTTGTGGTGAAGGACAAGCAGCAGATGAAAGGCAGCAGGGCAGGGTTTTTTGCACCTAACTGCATGAGGCTGTCTTCTCCACATCTACTGCTGGGGACCTGGAAGACAGGGTCATGCTGTGAGCTCCTCTGACTGCTGTTGCTTTTCCTGTTTATGCTTAAGGCCAGACTAGAAACAAAGCAATTTTACAAAGGATCATAGCCTAAGGCTTTGCTGCCTATGGCCAGGCATGTCTGGATCAGAGGACAGGGGGAGGAGGACAATGTGTGACTCCAAAACAAGCCATGAGAGCTCGCTGCGTGAACAGCCTGCCCTCCACCCCGTGCTGTGATTTGCACCTCTGCATGGTGGGCACCATCGTCCCTGAGACGCCGTAATTCGGTACCATCCAGGGTTGCCCTGGTCGCCATCTACGCCCAGCTCCTCTCTGTATTTCCCATCTTAGTGACGGGCTGTCCCTTATTAGCCCATCTCCCTTGCACTGAATTGCAGCTTTGGACCTGGCTGATCCTGGTACACAGTGTCTGCTGCTCCCATGGCTCTCAGCCCTTCCGAGTGTAGCAGTCACTGGTTTCACCTCTTCTTTCACCTCAGGAGCACCCTCTCCTATGCACAGGATATTCAGCCAGGCCCACAGGTCCGCTCAGCCCACCAGTGCTGGTCCATCACAGCAGTCCAGGGGGACAAAGTGTCGATGCACAGGAGTTAGGTTGGTCTTCAGCAATGCACAGGCTGTCTGCATGGAGTTAATCCTGGCCTGGGTGTTTGGACCTCACCAGATCCTACCTGCTTTATGTTCCCACCTGAATGATCTCAATTCTTTTATCAGAAGGAGATGCTGAATATGGAGGAGAGCCAGCCCAGATATCAAACTCACGGTGTGGGCAGCCCTGTTTTCATCACTACAACTTTGTTTGAATGCTGTCTCCAACACTTTTCCTACTAGGTGTGAAATAAGTTTGAACTTTCCCATTGCGAAGTGCCAATCAGTTGTTCCTTTCCCCACACAATTTGGAGATGCTTTGCTGCTGAGGAAAGGCCCCATCTGGTTGCAGTTTCACTTTTTAATGCTTTACATAAACACTGCTATAAAAAGCAATGACATGCAGATAAAGAAAATAATGGCTTCATTTGGGGTTTGGGCAATGGTTATAAATCACTCCAAGGTGTGCACCAGCCACTCCTGGTAGAAAGCAAGAGTGCAAATTGGATGCTGCAGTAGAACTTGCAAGAAGAGGGGGTTTGGTCCTTGCCTGTTGCTGTACATCAATTTGCTTTTTAAATAGTTACCCAAGAAATAATTTACTGTAGGTTGACCATGAATTTCCTGTTACTTCACAAGGTTGTTCCCCATACCTTCCTTTTGGTCTGTCTCTTTTAGCTGACCACAGCTCTGGCAGTGGCTGAAGGCCTCCTGAGAGCCCTGTGATACCTTGCAGGACATTGGAAGTGACATGGTTTGGACTAAATGACAGTCTGGCTTCTGTTCCCTGTATCTTATTTCCTGCTTTGGAGCAAACTGCAGAGAGAGCCACAGACCCTGGTCCCAGCAGGGCTGCGGGGCGGCAGGAGCCATGTCCTGGAGCTCACCACTGAGACCCGCAGCCCGTGCCCCGCGCCTGTCCCTGCCTGTGTCACACACGCCACTCAGAGCAGCAGAGCACCAGCCTCTGCCGCCGGGCCACGGGCACTGGCCTCACTTGGGAAGGCTGTTGCATAAGAGCCTGTAAAATCTGTATCTCGAGCTGTGAGGAGTTTGCTGGGTGCAAACACACAAAGGTAGGCTTGCCCAGCCTGTGGGAGGCAGGTCCTGCTCCCCAGGGCTGTCCTCACACGCCCTGGCCGTGCTGCCCCTTCTCCAGGCTGAGCCATCCAAGGACAGCAGCGTCCTTTGCAGACTGACTGAGCGTCAGTTTGTCCCTGTAAGGGACATAATCATTATCATCTGCAGTTTACAGATGGAGGAAGTATTGCACAGAAGCAACTTGTCCAATGTCATTTAGGGCAGACAAGCCAAATCCGGATACACGGCCCAGCTCCCCGAGCCCCGCGCCGCAGTCTCACCGCCAGACAATGCCCCGTTCTCTGCTCCCAGCGAGGCTCAGTGACTGAAGTGACTCACCCAGCAAATACATTCTTCTCACGTGAACTCTAAGAGCATCACAGCTGCTGTGTATGTGGGATTATTTTCGTCTCTTTTCTGCTTAGGCAATGTTTTCAAATCGTAGCCAGGAACTTGAGAGGGTGTCCAAGGGCTGCCCTGCTTGAGCAGGACATTCTGAATGTGTTACAGCTCTAGAACTGCTTATGCTGCTGCCTGGGTTGCCGAGATCATAGATTAGTTTTGTCCTGATCTTTTCTTCCAGAGACCTTTTCTGAGAATCAGAGATTCATAAAAACACCTTCTTAACTGGGCTTCTGGGATCACAGGATGTGCTGGAGGCAAAATATCTAATTAGGAAACTGAGCAATCTCTGGCCGCGAGTTGAGGTTTCAGACTAGGTGACTTTTTGGCAGCTGCCAGGGTAAAGCTGCCACGACGGTTTTACTGGTGTTTAATGGGCTTTTAGAAGTGGCTCTGAAAGGAGCAGCACAGGTGCTGTGTTGCAGGGGGAGCTCCTGTCCCAGGAGATACTAGGAAATAAGCTATGTTTATGAAAAACCGATATATCTTAGACTGCCTCCTGTGCACCTGCTCTTGAAGTCTGGACACATCATCTCGATTCAGCTGAGATGTGTCTGGGGCATCGCTGGGGTCCCTGAGCCTCCTCAGAGGTGTGCCCTGGCCTGTGTTTGTAGGGGCAGAGCAGCAGCCTCCTTGGGGAGAGTGGGAACACACTGCTCAGGCTCGGGACAGCCAGGGTGCAGCCAGGCCTCGGAGAAGCCTCTTCCCTGCTCCCTGTGTGCCCAGCCTGCATCCCAGCATGGGGAGGGTCTGCAGCCGGAGCCACGGGGCCCGTTTCTGTACTGTGAGAATGTCCATTGCCAGAAATTCCAAATGAGGATTTGGAAGAGTCAGGCAAAGAGATACTCTGAGGACGAGTCATGCAACAGAGAGCCCAGGCAGGGTTAGGAGCTCGCTGCGGGTGTCCCGAGCCAGCGAGCAGTGGGCACCTCTCCCCCCTCTGCAGGGAGCCTCAGGGACAGCCCGGGCACAGCTGCCCCTTGGCAGCCACCGGCCGCTCGTGCCGCGGACGGGCGTCACTCACGTGGTCGATGAGCTCCTTGATCATGCCGTTCCACTGCCCCTTCTCGTCCTGCGCCCCGTACTTCCCGTCCTCCACCAGCCGGATCTCGTAGCTGAAGCCCAGGATGACGGCCAGCTCCTTGAGCAGGTCAATGCAGTACCCCTCGAAGCGGTCGTTCCCGAACAGGGCCGTGTCCGACTTGCGGAACATGACGAAGGGCTCCTCCTGCACGCGGGAAGGCAAAAGGTCCCCGCTCAGGGGCAGTGGGGTCCCGGCCCCCACCAGGGGCAGGGCCAGCCCCGCGGGTCAGCCTGAGCCACCGGGCGCAGGCTCTTCAGGCACGGTTGGCAGCGTGACATGCTGGAAATAAATTAACTTTGCACAGCACATCAGCTAATTAGCAACCTTGTTTACCCCACAAAATTTAATTTTGTCTCTTCTGAGCAGCCAACTGTTTTCCATTTGGTAGGATTTCAGGAAGAAAAATAACTATTTCATGCTCTGGAAATGAAGTATTGAGAAACAATAAAAGGGGGGAGGACAAATGGAACCCCAGGTTCCACAGAGCAGAAGTGCAGCCCACCTGCACTGCAGTGCCCGTTTGCTGCGGCGAGCAGGAGCCTGGTGAGCTAAACACAGGGCGAGGGAGCTGTGCGTGGTGGCCAGCCCGGATCGTTCCCCAGTCCAGCCCACTCCCCTCTTTGCCAGAACTAGCTGAGGGGACACGGGGCCCGGCTGCTGCCCAGGGAGAGTCTCTGCTCTCTGCTTCAGTTCTGGCTGCTGTGGGAAGGTTGGGGGATGTTGTTAATCACAGCAGCGCCAAGCACCAGCGCAAGTGAGAAATAACTGATGAAGTTCTTCAGAGCAGGCTTTGCCCTGTGGCTCCTCACCTCTAGCAGAGCCTGGCAGGTGAACTTTGCATACACACAGCAAACTGCTCAGCCCTTTGGTGAACACCAGGCTTGGGCAGTCACCGAGGACGAGGGGCACTGGGGAGCCCGAGGGAGAAAACATGTAGTGGACAGATGGAAATGGCAAAAGATGGTAGGCAGCAGGCAGAAGCTAGAAGGGAAGGGTGAGATGCCAGCAGCAGCTAATGCAGGGCTTGAACTGAAGGTATCTGCAAGGCTACTGTCCTTGCCCGTGGTGTGGCCAGCGAGGGGGGGCTCAGGTTCTGCTCTGGCCAGCGAGCTGCATTGCTGGAGTCCTCGGGGTACTGCATGGGGACAACGGGCCTTGAAGTCGCAGGTGGGAAGGTCTGGGGTGCCACTCAGAGTGCTGCCAAGATGCCCGGTGTGGTGGGGTGCTGAGGAGGGGGCTCGGGACCCAGAGCTGGTGCCAAGCTGGAGGTTGGAGGTTCTTGTCTCCCAACACAATCTCCCAGCCCCCACCTCTGCTGTGGAGACCTCTGCCACCCCTGGGGCAGGGACACAGGAGGTGCCACCTTGGCCCGAACGCGGGATAGGGAGTTCTCCATTTGCAGAATCATAAAGCAAACCGGGTAACATTGTGCCTATAGAGTTGAGCTTGGCACACACAGCTCAGTTAAACCCTGCTCTCCCCAGCCTGCTCCTCAGTGTTCTTCCCTGGAATTAGTGCTTTGTTGTGGATCAGCTGAATCTATGGATCTTGATATAAATACAGCGGCTCCAGAGCAGCCATAAAGCACTATTAATTTTGGGAAGCGCTGTAGGGATTACATACATATTTAACAGCCGAAGCACTGAACATTAGGACGCCGCTCGCTTCAGTAATGTATCTCCAGGTCTCAAACATTTCCTAGGGGGTAATTCTGAACTCTGTGAACCACTTATTCACGGACTATTTCACAATTTATTACTGAAAATGGCCAGACATCCAATTCACAAGCGCTCTCAGTTTGCTAATCGATTTCTCAGTGAAGGTGCCCTCAATTTCATAACTTCACAGTTCCCATATTGCTTGGGGAGAGTGGCGCTGGCTGCTGGGGTAATATTTCTCTTCCAACAAGTCACTGCAATATGAGCAAAAGGGGAAAAAATAACCTTCCATGCTTTTCCTTTGAAAGGTTCCTCCTACGGCTTTTCTACTACCATTTACACCAGTGCAAAAGTACAAAAAGGTGTTGCAAATGCAAATAAAATTCAGGGTGGTTTTTTTTTTTTAGAATCCAGCATATGAAAATGCAGTTATTGCAGAACTTGGGTCTAAGCACATTTTCTTCTTCTGCAGATGAGTGAATTGCAGGACAGCTGTGGCTCTGAGGTAGATAACCCCAACACAAGTGCAGGCCTGAGGAATGGCAAAATTAATAGGAACTGATATCACCCTTGTACTCATGTAATTTGTACATGCACGGGATGAAAATGTTGCCCCAAAAAAACATGCCAAAGGCAGATGGCTGACAGGTTTCCTCTGGGTCCATCATTTTACATTATGCTGCAGTCTTTGAGGCACAGTGATGATCGTGCCCTAGACCCAGAGGTTTCCACAGCTCTGGCCTGGCATCTCACCCCTGACAAGATGCATCGTGTCTGGTTTCCCTCACTCCTGTCTGTACAGCCCTCACTGGGATCCCATCCTGAACTGCCATCCTGAGGGCGGGAGCTCCACCAGCTCTCAGTGCAGGCAGCTCTGCTGCTGCCTCTCGAGCTGTCTCCCCAGTGCTGCCACCCATCCCACCCCAGGGATCCTCCCCAGTGTGCTGCACAGTTCTCATTAAAGAGAATGGGGGAAGAGGAGGCATTATATAACTTCTGTTTAGTTTTATCCAGCCACAGTACGAGCTGAACAATTCCCTTAGAGCTGATCCTCCACCTGGGAGTGACTTGATGTGATGTGTTATTCATGATGCCCTAAAAATTTTCATCTCCTATGTACAGGTCCTGGGAGCATTTTAGGTTACCTTGCTAAAATCAATGAAACCTGGCATGGCAGGTCTCTGCATTTGGCCTGTTAGCAAAACACTGCCTAAACTTCTGCTTTCTGAACACAACCAGAATGCTTAAATGCAAAGGAAAAAAAACCCAAAGCAAACTGTGTGTGTATTGTGCCTGAGTGCACACCCCCTGCTGCAAGGGGCCCAGCAGAAGCAGTCATACAATGTTGCTGAGGGATGCAGGACCTTTGGTTCCAGCTCTTCTGCCCTGGACCAAGTCTTTCCTTTCTCTGTTCTCTGGGCACTTCCTTGGTCCCTTTTCTTCTAGGATACAAACCCTGACTCTATCAGGACAAGTCCTTTTGGGAAGGCAAGGACATCACAAGGGCTCATGCCTCTCCAGACTGGAGACCGCATCCCCCGCTGGCTCTTTGCCATCTGCACCTTTATTCTCCCTGAGAATACAGAACCAAGAGGGCCTTTTCCACAGACAAAGCCATCATTCAGGCCTGAATATTTTTATCAGCTATATTCAGGCTGATATTTTCTGTTGCTGCCTGTTGATGTGCCGTGAGCCTGTGCTGTGTAATACAGCCATACAGAAACCAACGGCACCAGTCATAATTCATTAGGTAGTAAATAAAAATTCATTCTGATCTGATGCCTGCTGTCAAATCCAATAGTGAGTGTGAGAACAAAACCAGTGCGACAGCTGGAAGCGGAGGAGACCTGTTCAGGAGCCTTGCTGTGCTGGGTAACAGCATTGCTCCTCACTAGTTTGTCACACGTGTGCTAAGAGGGGGAATGAAGCAGGGTTGTCAGGGCTGAGCTGAGGCTCTGGTCCTGAGTGTTCTCTTCCGTAACAAGAGCGCTCCGGTCTGAGGTGGGCAGTGCCACCTGCCCAGGCACTGCTGGGGAATGGGTGACTGGGAGATTTCCTGGAGCTCCCTGCAGGGAGCAAGGGGGGTCAGGGCACCTGGGCAGGCAGCCGGAGTGGAGCAGCTCAGCCAGGACGAGCGGCAGGTGCCCAGGCCCGGGGGCAGATACCCCTGAGGTCTGTGGGTGGAGGACAAAGACAGGCTGGTCTCCTACCAGGACAGTGGTGACAATCAGAGATCTGTTGCTCAGCGAGTCTGTGACATTAGGCCCTCGTCCTTTGGGAACTTCTGTGATGTTCAAACCGTCGGAAGGGCTCCACACTCCAACCTGAAATAAAGAAGCAAATGAACACATGATCACCTGGCTTACATTCCTCACTTGCTCTCAGCATCCTACTGGCCTGGAAACTGGAGCTTGCTTCTTTCATCTACAGTAAACAGAAGCAAAGCTGAGATTATTGTCTTGTATAACCTGAATAAAGATTCACATTAACCCTTCAGGTGCAGGTCACTCCAGCTGCTTGTAGATGTATAATGAACAACCCCTCTGCTGTCCTTTGATGCAGGTGCATGAAAGAAGATGATGACTAGAATTTAGAGACTGAATGAGCAGTTTGCAAAGGTACTGTGAGAACAAACAGTCAAGCTGCGTTGAAGACTCAACTCTGGGCAAGGACAAAGCAGAGCAAAAGAAAAAAAAATACCCACAAAAAATATACTGCCAGTTTGCTTTGGTGGAGAGAATTAAAAATCACTCGACCAGCTCTGCAAACCCCTGGTAGGGACCGTTCCTGTCCTCTGCACTGTGGCAAACTAGGTGGACATTTCTTCCCCTTGGAAGGGCCCTGGTCACCCCTTCAGGGCAGTCCACCACAACGAGAGGTCTGGGCCCTGGCAGCAGACCCCGAGGAGGGAGCTGCAGGGACTGGCTCAGGCCTGGGCACCGGCACGGGCGGCTGCGTTCCTCCTCAGTTTGAGGTGCTCTTCTCAAGCTGTCAACGTTAATTAATTGACATTGAAGAAGTCTATTGATCCAGAAACAGCAAAACGTGTCTGTATGTAAGAGAAGTAATATGGGCAACTCTAAGCCTGTTAACCTGATCTCCACAGTGCTGGGGAGGCTTTAGAACAAACTTTGAAGGCAGGACTGGCTAAAGGACTGTGACAGTGAGATAAAGTGTGAGGAAAGCTGGAGGAATACAGGACTGCTGCCAGCAAACAGAGCAGGGTGGCCACACAGCCAGGCTGATGGGGAGAAAAACTAAATGCCCACATGGAAACAGGAACAGAGTGATCCTTCTGTAGGGTCAAACTGTGAGATGGGACTCAGAGAGAAACCAAAGGCAGACAGCTCAAACCCACTGGGGAGCCAGGAGCTTCGGATATTTTATTTATTGCTATTTTTAAGATTCTTCAGTCTCTTCAGCAGTCCGAAGGGAGAACTTGGTTTTACTGCATTCCCAAAAAGAGACTCTGTAATGAGCAGTGCTGCCTGGCAAAAAAAAATGTCATAAATTCTCGAAGAGTTTCTATGAACTTTGTGAAAGGCTCTAAATATTTCAGGTTAAACCTGAGTAATCCCCCATATCTCCCTTCGATCACTCAACAGCTGCAAGGTCAAAAGATTGTTATTCTGCATGGGGAGAGAGAAGCAAGTCTAAGAGAGCTCTGCAGCACTGCAGAGTCACTTAACTGTGCCTTGCTAAGTTGTCTTTAAGAAAATTAAATATATGGCACTTAAGACTGAATTAATCTGTTTAAAATATTAAAAAAGAAAAGAAAAAGGAAAGAAGTGCACTAAGAGAACTGTGCAAGTCAGATAGTCAAACTCCACATAATTAGGTTTAGTTAATACATCTGTAATCCCTGGAACATCCAGGAGGTATCAGGATCAGGAGTTCAATCCTAAAGCTCAACAAACATAAGCTATTATACATAATGCACCATCCGTATGGGATTTGTTTGTACTTTGGTGTTTTGTTATTTCAGATTAACTATTGACAGAAACTGAGCTTCAACAGAGGTTTGACATCGATACTTTAAAACCCCTCCAGAGCCGACAAGAAGCTTTCACAAAATAATTCTGGGAAGTGTGAAATCTCTGAATTGCTGGGTACAGAGTTTGAATGGCTGTACGAGTGTGCGTCGAGGTTTGGTGGCTTCCCAGGGGCTTCACGTGACACACGAGAGCTACAGATCCAGCTGGGGCAGCTGCTCTCCAGCACACCCATGGAGTGTTGGCTTGACAGAGGGACGTTACAGCTGTACTTAAACATTTAGATTCACCTGGTATCCAAATACTCACACATTCTTCTATTATTCCACCCACACAGCTCTCTGACAGTGCCACTATACTCCAACAAGACACGTTGGGTTTTTTGGTTTAGACTCTGTTTTATAAACAAAGTATATTGTAAAAAAAGAAGTCAAGCTAGAGAGATCATCTCCTGCTCGGCTCTTGTGAGGAGGTGGCGACTTCCCCTGCTCCTCTCTTGCCTCCTTCCTGCCGAGGCTTGGCTGATTGCAGCCGAGACTGAAGGTCGTTGGGTTTGCTTGAAATGTTTTTGTTATTCTGTATTTGACACCAAAATAATACCTGCTAGGAGAGTGCTGTGGTGACCTTGAGGATTTTTACATGAAGCAAAGAACCACTGCTGTGGTGTGAAAGTGTGGCAACAATTTATTTCAAAGCCAAGGAAAAACAAGCTGTAGAAAGGGGGGAGCGGGGAAGTCAAGCTTCACGATGCAGGATCCAGCCCCTCGGAACAGGAGGGCTGATGAAACTGCTGCCTCCAGCCCCCGGGGCTGCCTACCTGCACGGTGTGATTAATTCCCCAGCCTTAACTGGAGGAGTCATCTGTGCACGTAGGGCCGCTGGCTGCATGGATAATTGAAAGCTCCTTCCCTCCGCTCCCGGCCGGCGTTTCCCGCGTGGCAGAACCTGTCCCCATGCCCAGAGGTTACAGGACTGGGCACTCATCCCTGTTGTCATGGGGCACCTTGTGCCTGTCCAAAAGCAGACTCTGCTCCAGAAAGGGATTGCTGCCCAGTCACTAACTTGCTCCTGTAAATCTGCAAGAGCCCTTTAGCAGAACGGGGACTCAGAGCCACTGACAGAAGGGGGTCAGGCTTGGAGCCCTCTGTGGCCTCCGTGCCGTTACTTGGAGCCTGGTTAGAGCCCAGCCCGTGGCCGTTGCTCATGGCCGGTAGCCACTGTCCCCTCTGCAGGGCTTTCTCCACTCCAGGCCACTTGCTGCTCTCTTTTGTCTTAAATGATCTGATCTCACCTTGAAGCCCATGTTCCAGGAGCTATAATGCTTTGCATATTGCCTTTTTTTTTTTTAAAAAAAAAAAAAGTAATTAAGTAAGAGGAAATGAAATCCCCATGAGCTCCTGGGAATCTGATTTGCACGTCAGCACCGTGGGCCTGTGCCCAGAGGAGGTTGCTCCAGTGAGGAGGATCAGAGGCTGCAGCCTCTGTGCAGTGTCGTCTCAGGGTGGCCGGGCAAACATGGCCACCGAAGGAGATCCCTCCAGCCAGCCAGGAAAAACACACTTTGCTTTGTTCTTTGTTGTCCCTTAGAGAAGAAATAACTGAAATATGCACTGCCTCCTCCTGCAGAATGTGGGCTCTAATAAGCCGGTGCCATTTCCAGGCCGTAGGCAGTTTTCATTGTGGGAAGTCACATCAAGATGATGCTTTCAAGAGCTGTTGCCTCCTCAGGGAAAAATCAACATTTTGTAAGCAAGCCCAGCAAGATGGGGGTGGGAGAGGCTTTGTTCCTTCCACCTTTGGCATGGGCAAGGAGAGGTTAATGGCTGCTCAGAAAGTTTATTTTGCTTCTATTATCCCAGGAAAGTGCCACAAGCACTTCTGCAGCTACAAGCTGTAATCCCACACATGTCCCTTCAGGGCTAGTGAGTCATGGTCTAGGCATGGAAAAGGATCTGAGAAGTCTGACAAAGTAAATATCCTTTTATATAAAAACCAGAAAACCTGGAAACAATACAACCACCAACCATTTTCTCCGTTGCCTGAGTATCAGAATTAGACAAAGCCATCTGCAGAGACGACAAACCCTGCCTACCTTCTCGAGACCATCTTCTTTGAGGCTGATGATATCCAAATCAAAATCTGTCCGTAAACCACTGGTTTTATTAAAGACAATTCGTCCCGTTAATCCTTCCCATTGTGCCTGTGAAAGGGAGAAAAAGTAGCAGGGCTGTTACTTGGTATCATAAATAATCTTTTGCCCTCCACTGTATGTTCTTTTAATTAGTCCTTATACCAGTCCTTTCTCCCCAAAGAGCACGATTAATTAATAATCACCCCCGTCACTCTTCAGACTGCAGACAGAGCTGGAGATTTTCTTAACTCTCTTGCAGTCCTTGCTACAATTTTTGTTCGCACCTTTTGTGTTCACCAGCTGTTGCAGGACATGATGAGTCAGTAGAAAACCGCTCGCATTTATCATGGCATCCTTGTGTGCTGCATTTATCCTTGTGGTGCTGATAAATACTGGGCTGCAGGGAGCCTGCGTTTGGGACAGCTCCAGTCAAGCTCATAAATAATCCTTTTTTGCATGAACCTGTTGGTGCTTCCAAGGTGTGTGGAAGTTAAAATGTCCTGAACACTTCCCTCCCTCCTTTCAGATGGAAAGTGGAGCAGAAGAGGCCAAGAGCTAGTCTGTGCTAGCAGTCCCTGTTGTTTTGAAACAGGTCCTGGGAATCTGGTGGGCGTGTGCTGTGTTAATACCCTGGTTCAGCTTTTGGCAGTATAAGCACAAGGTGGGTGCCCGCTGAGGCTGGGGAAGCCCCATTCCTGGAGCCTTTCAGCACTTGACTGACAAGTTCTTGCACAGCCTGGTCTGACTCGGGAGCTAGTCCTACTCTGAGCAGGAGCTGAGGGTAGAGGTATCTAGATTCAGTTCAGCCAGAATTATTCTATGATCCCATTTCTTTTCCACTGTACACTTTGCAGCACCACCAGAATTAATCTGTCTGATTTGGGATGTGGGAGAGCCCCAGAGAGGCCGTGCTAGCTGTGTTAGCAGGGCGGGTGCTGCAGGACAGCACGGCCTGTGATGCCTGCTCTGCCCTGGACGGGGCTGGGACGTGCTGGGATGTCAGTGCCAGGCTCTGACGAGCTGTACTGCTCGGGGTCACACCTCAGTGGTGTGGAGCTGGGACTCAGGCTTTTTGCCCTGAGCAGTTCAGTGCACGCTGCTTGCTGACTAATATCTTTCCCATATGGGTGGGGGGCCTTGACATAGCCCAGTATGACAAAGGTGGCATAATGTATTCTCAGGGTGCAATGACTGACATGTTTCCCAGTAAATATGCTCTTCCTCATTAATTCCCAAGCAGTAATGAGAGCCTCCTCCCAGCCTTGCCACCCGTGGGTTTTGGGGAGGGCTGTGCTCAGTTTGTGCAGCTTGCTGTGCAGGTGATTTTCCTGTGGGACACGGAGCCTGCGGAGCCCCCTGGGAGCCAGGGATAACAGGGAGTGTTTAATGTACCCATCTGGAGCCAGCCCAGCTGTGTGCTGAGCCCTGCTCCTCCCGGGGCTGCCTGGCTCCGGG